TCCCCTTCAAGGCCAGCACATCCTTATTTAGAAACAGGCACTATGAGCAACTTAGCACGGCCAATCCACCTAAGCTGCACAACCTTGGAATGTGGGATGAAACTGGTGCACTGAGTGGAAACCCATGCAGACGCCCAATGTTGGAATGGAATGCAGGTCCCTGGTGCCACCCCTTTCTATTGTTGTCATTCCAGTATGCATCAGAGGCTTCCTTTTTCTTCCTTATTTTCTCATCGATATCCTTAGTTATTCAGGGTCCTCTAGCTTTGGATGTCCTGTATTTATTTCTCGTGGGTATGTACTGAGCTTGCACCCAATTCATCTGTTTTGAAACGCTCCCATTTTTCATCCTCTAAATGTTTCCCAATCAACCTTTAGACCCCTATAATCTGCCCTTTTCCAGTCTGGGATTTTTAATCTTCTTCCAGCTTAATATTAAACTTTATTATATTACCATTGCCATTTCCCAAAATGTAGCCCCTACTCCCACTCTGATCTCCTCCATTTGGCCTGCCACATTTCCTGGGACCAGATCCCACCCAGCTCTCTCCCTAGAAGGGCTACTAATGTATTGTTCCTGAAAGTTCTCCAGCAAATGTTGCAAGAATTCTTCCCCTTCCATGCTCCACACTCAACCTTTTTTCTGGTCTACTGTAGGGTAACTGAAATCACAAACTATCACAACCTTTCTTGTCCTGCAGATTTCCATTTCCATAATCTACCTGTAAATGCTCTCTTTTACTTCCTCCCCACAATTTGGAGATCTACAATATATATCCAGTAAGGACACTGCTCCCTTTCTGTCTCTCACCTCCAACCATGTAGATTCTAATTCAGGAAGTGCAACTTGTTCAAGGGCAAATGATACTACCTTTGATTAAGACTGCTACACCTCCTCCCTTTTTACCCACCACAATTCTATGAAAAGCCTTATAACCTGTGACGTTAAGTATCCAGTCCTGTTCTGGCATGAGGCACATTTCCATCAATGCTACCACATCATATGTCCCAGTTTTGTTCACTATACTCGATATATTTACATAAATACAATTGAACCCTACCCTTAACTCTTTCTTGCCAGTTGAAGGTGACATTTCTTTGTTCACTGTCAACATTTCAGCCTTCCCTCATTTCCTTCTCTCCATTCCCCATCTACTCTCTCGTGTCCTCACTGGTACTTCCACAACTAGGCCCATTAATCAATCCACCCTAACTACACACAATCAGAAAAGAGATTTATTCATTTTTTGCTCAGGTGTAGTCCATTTCTTCTGAAGGGCTTGCTCTCTTCTCAAAAAGTGATCCCAATATTCCGAAAATCTAAACCCCTCCCTTTTACACCATCCCTTAAGCCACACATTATCTCCCAGATCTACCTTTGCTTAAACGAAGAAGCTCATGTCACAGTTAGTATTTGCACCCTGAAGGTTCTGCATTCCAACCTACTCCCCATGTCCTGAAACTGATCCCTTCAGTCCTCGAAGCTATCCCTCCCTATGTTGTTGGCTCCCACATGAAACACAGCACTGGTTATTTACCCTCCCTTTTTAGAAGTTTATCCAGCCATTAAGTTATGTCCCAAACCCTTACACACGAGGAGCAACAGACCAAAAAAGGACTCAAGATCTTGGCTGCAAACTAGACTGTTCATCCCTCAAAACTATTGAGTCATCCACTACTATGACCACCACCTTTCTGAGCTGCCAACCAGCCTCTCTGCCCAATATAGCCTCATACACCAGGTACTGCAGTTTTCTCCTCAAGTCATTCACCCCTAACTCAGTCATGATGCTCACTAAAATTTCATACCTATTACCTAGACTTGGGATTGTGTAATGTGAAATATCTGTACACTGAGGTCGTTATTTGTAAGTAGCAGTGGCCACAAATTGGCTGAATTCTACATTTACTTTGAAAGGCAGAAGAGTGGGTCATGAACCAGCATACTAGACCATGGGCTAGATTAATAGAGAAACCATAGCCAACCTCTAAGGAATTTTCAGAATATGAACACTCCTCCTATGCTGAAAAATTTAAGACAAACCACTACCCAATGGTTAACTAAATCAGCTAAGGAAACCCTCAAACCTGAAAAGGCATATAACTGGGCAAAGAAGAGTGCCAGGTCAAGAACAGCAGAAAGTGACAGCGATTAATCAGGAGGAAGAAATTAAGATATTACAGAAAGATTGGCAGAAAATAGTTTTAAAAATGCATGAGGTTCTACGTTAAAATACATAAAAGAATTTAAAAAGTAAAATGAGTGTTGGTCCTCTGGCAAGTGAGAATGATAATACATAATGAGGGAACTGGGCGATTAAGTGAACAGATATTTTGCCTCTGTCTTCACAACAAAAGACACAAAAACATTCCAGTAATAGCCTGTAAATCAGGAGGTGGAAGTGAAAGGAACTTGGTGCGATTCCAAATCATCGGGGAGTGGCACTGAGCAAACTGACAAGAGCTGCGAGTTACCAAGTCAGAGCTCCTGAAGGACTTTAGCCATCTCTTTTAAGAACCTAGGCTGATGAGGTAGAGATGTTAGTTCAATTTTCCAAATTTCCCTAGATTCTGGAGAAGTTCCACGAGAGTTGAATTGCAGAAAATAATAGCTATATTCAAGAAGGGAGGGAAGCTGAAGACTGTAGTTTGACATTTACTTACAGGGAGGGTGTTAAAAATCAATAGTTTAGGAAGTTATAGGTAAGCAATTGAAAAAAAAAGAGGTAGTCAGCAACTCAGGATGGCACTGTGAAAGGGGAGTGATGCTTAGTAAATGCATTGGAGTTTAAGAAGGAATAACATGCACTGCAAATGAAGTGGAGCCCACTGATGTATGTTCTTTGGTTTCCCTGAAGACATTTAACAAGGTTGCACACCAATGGTGATTGCACACAATGAGAGCTCAGGGATTGGGGGGTGATGGTGGTGAAAATCCAGTCAGCATAGGTAGAAGATTGTCTGCATGCTGTTTCCTGCCAGCCAGACATCGGTATTTTAGGGTTGGCAGAATGAGCGGAGTCAAGTACTGCCACAGTCTCAGCTATTTACAACTACCATCAATGACTAAATGAAGGAAACAAAGGCATGGTAGTTAAATTCACAGATGAAAAAAGGTGGAAAAGTAAATTTTGAGGAAGACATAGGGCAGATGCAAAAAGACAGATAGGCGAAGAGAATGGGCACGTCTGGCAGATGAAAATTATGATGTGGAAAAATGTGAAGCCGCTCACTTTGACAAGAAGAATAAAAGCAGCATTACTTAAACAGTATTAACTGCAGAATTCTGAGGTGCAGACAGATTTAGGTGTAGTAGTGCTCGAGTCACAGTTCATACACAGGCAAGGATATTGCGCCTCAGTTATGCAAGGCATTGGTTAAACCATATCTCAAATAGTGTTCAGTTTTGGTCCCTTTCAGGACCCAAGTATGTTGGGGACAGGTCAGAGTTACATTAATAACCGGACTTTACAGGTTAATATTTTGAGGTTGCACCCCGTGGGCTTGTTTCTACGAAAGAGTTTACAATCTGGAGTGAGGGGTGACTAGAAGTTCTTGAACAGTCCTGAAAAACTGGGCATAGAAAGGATATTTCCTCGTGCAATAGGAGTCCAAAACTAGGGCACAGCATTTTAAAATAGAGGCATTGCCCTTTGACATGCCCTTTTTCTGAGAGAAAGGTGTGATTTCGCAACTGTCTCAGAAGGCAGTTCGCAATACTTCCAAGTTTTGAAATTGTCACATATACATTAGGGTCTAAACCTATACACATCAGGAAAAGCAAGGATCCAGTACTGAGGTCATTTAAAATTAAAGGTGGAGGCATAAGGATTCCCTTAACTAATTAAAATCTAAGCTTATTGGATGTAGGTAGGAGTGTGGAATTAAAACATACACAGATCTGTTGGAATGGGCTCCATGAGCCAAATGGTCTACATATGCTTCTACTTTATAGGTTCAACAAGTATTTATAAACTATAATAGAAGGGCTTATTAAGGATTGTCAATACTTAAATAATCAGATGTATTATGATT